CTAGCATTTCTCTGTTCCTGGATTCCATCCCCAAAGCTAGCTGCCAGCAAAACCTCAGAAACTTTAAGCTATTTGATTACTGCTCATTCCTGGGAGGAGCCCAGGCCATCTGCCTGGAAGCAGGGGCAAAGGCAGGAGGGAAAAGAGTGTTCAGGGGTCACCTGATGAGCTAAATTTCCTGGTTAGGCGATAGATAATCCAGAGCCAGGGGCCCCTGAGCAAAGGGTGGCCCAGGGCAGAGAGCAAAGGGTGAAGGGTTGGGACACAAGGCAGCCTCCGCCTATCATCCAAGGACTGCTGGGTGTTGCCTGCGCTGATAGTCTCCCTTCCCCGCCCCCCCTCCCCCTGCGGGTGTGCCAGGTGTGGCGCCAGCCGCCAGCTGAGCTCTCTACTTCTTGCTCCCCCCCCTCCCTACCCCAGTCACTCAGGCCCTGGGGGCTGGAAACAGATATTTGCTAAGAGTCTCAGAAAGGCCAGGCGCAGAATTTTTGTTTTGTTGTAATTTTGGCATAGTCAAAAGCTGAGGCAGTAGGGTAGCTGGGGGGTAAAGTTCAGCAGGAATTACCAAGGGAGGTCCGTATCTGACAAGGGTACAGAGAACAAGTCTCAAGAAAGAAAATACTGTAATAAGTAAGATTAGTTAGCTAGGTGATGATGGTGCATGCCTTCAATCCCAGAACTCAGAAGGCAAAAGTTAAGTGGATCTCTGTGAGTTCGAGAACAGTCTGGTTTACCGACTGAGTTCCAGGATAGCCAGAGCGACACAGAGAGACCCTGTCTCAAATAAACAAAACTTAAAAAAATAAAAACAAATAAAGTTAGTTAAGTTTAGGCATGATGGCACAAGCCTGTGACCCCGCCCCCGCCCCAGCTCTGGTGATGTGGAAGTGGGTTCAGTCACTTCTGCTGCTTAACGAGTTTGAGGTCAGATGCTGGACTACCTGAGACCCTGTCTCCAAAAATAAAAAATAATAAAAAATAATAAAACAGGCGCTAGGGAGACAGCTTGGTGGGTCAGGTCCTTGCAGAACACCAGTAAGAACCTGAGTTTGGCTGTTCAGCACCTGTGACCCCAGGCCTGGAGTCAGAGAAAAGAGGAACTGGAAGGGGAGCCAGGAAGACATCAGCATCCACCTACGACACAGCAGCACAGCGCGGGCAGGATAGAAGGGAACAGCTAAAGTAGAGACATCGTGCTTCCAGTTTTCAACATCTGAGAGGCTGAAGCCAGGGGATCAGAAAAGCAACTTTGGCTCCATAGCAAAAGTTGGGGGTCAGCGTGGGCTCCAAGAGACCCTGTCTCAAAACTTAAATAACAGGCCAGTGGTAGCGGCGCACGCCTTCAATCCCAGTAGAGATTAAATCTTGGTAGGCAGAGGCAAGCAGGTCTTTGTGAGTTCGAGGCCAACCTGGTCTACAAAGCGAGTTCCCAGGACAGCCAGGGCTACACAGAGAAACCCTGTCTCGGAAAACCAAAGGAAAAATAAAACAAAACAAAAACCAAATAACCTTTCCAAAACCAGTTCCAACAGCTTTCAGACTGAGAGGGCTGAGATTGCTGGGGGGGGGGGGGGGGGGGGGGTCAGACAGGCCCTGGGAACCCCACTCAGCAGGAGAGAAGGCAGCTGGAGTCCTACAGCAGCCTGCAGACAGTTTCTGGGTGTGGAACCGGGCGGGATTGGGGGACTGTCTCCTGAGACAGCACAGCCGGGGACCTCGACCTCGGGTGTGGCTCTGTGTCCTTTGCTAGAGGCCCTGGCCATCTCTTAACCCTCTGGCCACCCATGGGGATCCTTGCTGGGAGTCCTCAGGACAGTAATTCCAGCGTGGATAGTTGTCAGGGACCCACACCCCACACTTCAGAGACAACCACCACCCCTTCCTTTCCTTCAGGGCCTGTGCTCTGCCATCTCGGCCCTGGGACTCCCCACAAAACGGGTAATGGAGGGTCTGGCCTCAGAGAGCACCCCCACCCGTCCCCAGGATGACAGGGGAGTTGCATTGCAATACAGAGAATGACTTTTTTTTTCCCAAAATATAGAGAATGATTTTTGTTTGTTTGTTTCTGAGACAGGGTTTCTCTGTAGCTTTAGAGCCTGTCCTGGAATTCACTCTGTAGACAAGGCTGGCCTCGAACTCAGAGATCTACCTGTCTCTGCAACCCGACTGCTGGGATTAAAGGTGTGAGCCACCTCTGCCAGGCTGAGAAGGACTCTTGATGGGAGTCAAGGAGGGTCCTGAGGCTATGAGGGGACGGAAGAACCCCAGTGGAAGGAGTTCCCCTTTTTTCTCTCAAGACAGAGTCACACTAAGTTTCCGAAGCCGACTTTGAACTTCCAGTCCTCCTGCCTCAGTAGTAACTGTGATGACAGGCTTTGGCCACCAGGCTCAGCCGGAATGGAAATTTTGCTGTCAGTGTTATTCTTTTTTATTTATTTGTTTGTTTAATTATTTCTGAGCCCAGGAACAGGGGTTTAGGTTGGGATTCACTGACTCAGTAGCACAGGGCCAGGGCTTTGGGGCAGGTGATTCCCTTTTATCAGATGCTAAGCTCAGGCGGGCCTGGCTTGGCTTGGCGCCTTCTGAATGTCCCCTAGTTATCTCAGTCCTAGGGCTATCTCAGTTCTGGCGATAAGGCCATCAGCCCCCTGCCTGTCCCTGTCCAGCACAGCCTAGCCCAGGCTCCCTGCAGGCCCAGGCCAGTCCCTACCCCACCCCCTCAGCTGGCCCAGCCCACTTGGCCTAACTTCCTCTCCTTAAAAGGCTAAGTTTGGGAGACGAGTAGGGAGGGGGGTGCTGGAACCTCAAAGCAGCTGTCCCCTCTACCCCGAGGGAGCAGTGGACCCCGCTGGGGAAACAGGATACGACCCCAGCTGCTGGGGTCCATGAAATCCCTGTCTGGGCCCCGACTCCAGGCTCCTGCACAGGACCTTGAGGTCATTTCTCTCTTTATCTCTTCTCTCCATCCCAAACTGTGCCTTTGAAGAAGATATTGAGGCCCCAGGGTGGCCAGGCCTGGGCAGTGGAGCTGTGGTTGGGGTGTCACAGGCAGGGCCTAGGACAGACAGCAGATGTCCTGGGACCCCAAGGGGCTACCTTAGGAAAACTTTTAACCCCCTCTTTTTTAAAACAATAAAGATTGAACCCAGGGTCTTGCACATACCAGGGTTTCTATCCCACTGAGCAATGTCCCTGGGTCTCTTTCCCCTTTTTGTCTTGGGACAGAGTCACACTCGGTTTCCAGGGTCGGCTTTGAACGTCAATCCTCCTGCCTCAGTGAGAACTGAAATGATAGGCTTGTGCCACCAGGCCCAGATGGGGTTCGGCTGTTGTTTTTGTTTTTTGTTTGTTTGTTTTGTTTTTGTTTTTTGGGACAAGGTTTCTCTGTAGTTTTGGGGCCTGTCCTGGAACTAGCTCTCATAGACCAGGCTAGCCTCGAACTCACAGAGATCCACCTGTGTCTGCATCCCGAGTGCTGGGATTAAAGGTATGCACCACCACCGCCTGGCTCTTGTTTTTATTTGAGGCAAGAGCTAGCTACATAGCCGTGGCTAGCCTAGAACTTGCTGTATAGATCAGACTGGCCCCACACTTGTAGTGATCCTCTTGGCTATGCCTGCAAAGCACTGTGTCTACAGGCGAGTGTTGCCATGCCTGGCTTCTCTGTGTGTGTGTGTGTGTGTGTGTGTGTGTGCACGCGCGCGTGTTTTGTTTTTCTGAGACAGTCTTGCTCTGTAAATGAGACCGACCTCGGCACGCCGTGGAATAAACTAGCTGTGATGATGCCTGTCCATAATGCCAGGACTTGGGAGGCAACGGCAGAAGAACCGGAAAGTAGCAGGCCATTCTTGCCTACGTAGGATAGCCAGAGCTATGTGGAGCCCCATCTCAAAAACAAATAATAGCGGCTGGAGAGCCACCTCAGCGCTTAAGAGCGCTAACTGTTCTTGCAGAGAACCTGAGTTTGGGTCTTGGCTTCCATGTCAGGTAGCTCCCAACAACTGCCTATAACTCGAGTTCCAGGGGATCCGATCCCATGTGTCTAGTCTCTAAGGGCACACACATACACAGAACCAAACAAAATAAATTGCCAGAAGTGCATTGACACCCCACAGCACACACTTTTGCTGACGGTGCCTTGTACTCACAGAGTTCCGGGCCAACCAGGTCTACAGGAGACCTTGTTTCCACTCCCACCCACCAGATAAAGAAACAAATCTTAGCTGGGAGTGGTGGCGCAGGGCTTTAATCCCAGTATTTGGGAGGCAGAGGCAGGCGGATCTCTGTGAGTTCGAGACCAGCCTCATCTATGGATGAAGTTCCCGGCCAGTCAAGGCTGCACAGTGAAACTGTGTTGGTTTTTGTGGGGTTTTTTTTGTTTGTTTGTTTGTTTGTTTTTGGAGACAGGGTTTTTTTGTGTAGCCCTGGCTGTCCTGGAACTCGCTGTAAACCAGGTTGGCCTCAAACTCAGAGATCCATCTGCCTCTGTCTCAGAGTGCTGAAAATTCTTGGTGTTTTTGAGAGAGGTCTCATCACTATGTAGCCCTGACTAACCTGGGACTCTCTATGACAAGGCTGGCCTTTAATTCACAGAGATCAGCCTGCCTCTGCCTTCTTCAGTGTTGATAGGCCAGTGTCACCATACCTGGCCACAAATACTGTTTTTAAAAAGAAAAGAAAAAGGAAAGCTGTGGCTATGGCTCCTTGGAATGTTCTAGGCCCTGGGTTCAATTCCCTAAAGTGCAGCCCTGCCCACTTCCCCACCCCCTTTGGGAATGTCAGTCATCCATCAGGCCAAGGGGCTGGAGAGCTCAGTCCTTGGGTGTCCTTTGGTTTTAAGTACTGGGCAGAAACCTGGGCTGCTCGCCACCTAGCTCAGGGCCTCAGTTTCCCTTTCTGTACTTCAAGGAGGGCGGGGCTTGGCCTGCATATGGGGGAGGGTGGTGAGCAGCTGAGTTGAAGGAGGGTCAGGGGTTTGGCGGGGTTGGGGGGCTGGAGAGTCCCGTCCCTGTGGTCCCCGCCCGCGGCCGCTGCCCACGAGTCGTCCATAAAAGGCAAGGAGCGCAGGTCGCGCCAAACTTAGTCATGCGGCGGCGGCCGGCGGCTGCCCGCGCGACTTCCTCCGCCGACTTCCCGTTTCGAGAGCGGAGCCCGCAGGGGATGCAAGGTGTGGTCCTGCCTTTCGAAATGGGCCCTGATTCCCCTATGGGGACCTGCGGGTCGCTGGGGACCCGCGATGCCTGGCTCCTGCGCTGTAGAGGGGACCGCGGAGGGTCTGCAGGCGCACACCCGGGCTTGTGTTGGAGAGAGTGGGGGCTGGGGTCGCGCTCTGTGTAGCCCAAGCTGGCCTGCTTCGGCCTGGGAGTGTTGGGGTCACAAGAGTGAGCCATTACTCTGGGTTTAGGAATGCACGAAGGGTTTCCAGGAGGCCCAGCTGTTCTCCTGGAGGAGGGAGGGAGCTCGGATAGGAAGGTCAGGAGGGGGCATTGTTTGTTCGTTTTTTTTTTTCTTCAGTGCTGCTGGTAGAAGCTGGTGCCTCACATGCTAGGTCAGTGTTCCCCTCTGAATGTTCTAGACAGTATATGTCTTTGAAACGGTCTCATGCGACCCAGGCTGGCCTTCACTCTTGTTTTATTTTGTTTCGAGACAGGGTCTCACTATGCATCCTTGGCTGGTTTGGAACAAACTATGTAGACTAGACTCGCTTCAAATTCACTTGCCTCTGGAGTGCTGGGATGATTCTCTCTCCACCTCGGGAGAGCTGGGGTGAAGATGTTTGCAACCATACTTTTGTTTTATTTTCTTTCTCTATTTTGAGACAGGGTTTCCGTATGCAGCTCTAACTGGCCTAGAACTCCCTCTGTAGACCAAGCTGGCCTTAAACATACAGAGATATGCCGGCCTATGCCTCCTAAGTGCTGGGATTAAAGGTCTGATCCATAATGCATGGCTTATTTTCATTTCTTAACCATTTATAATAATGAGACAGGATCTTTTTTCTTTCTTTCTCTTTCTTTCTTTCTTTCTTTCTTTCTTTCTTTCTTTCTTTCTTTCTTTCTTTCTTTCTTTTTTTTTTAGACCTATAGCTTTGGGGCCTGTCCTGGAACTAGCACTTGCAGACCAGGCTGACTTCCAACTCACAGAAATCCACCTGCCTCTGCCTCTCAAGTGCTGGTGTCTGGCTGAGACAGAAGTTGCCCAGGCTGGCAGTTGGGCATTGATTTTTTTTTTTCTTTTTTTTGAGTCAGAGTTTCTCTGTGTAGCTTTGAAGCTTTGGAGCCTGGCCTGAACTCATTCTGTATCCAGGTAGGCATTTTTTTTTTTTGAGTCAGAGTTTCTCTGTGTAGCTTTGGAGCCTGTCCCCAACTTCCTCTGTAGACAAGGCTGGGCTCAAACTTGGAGCTCAGAGAGATGCGCCTACCTCTGCCTCTGGAGTGCTGGAATTAAAGGTGTGCGCCCCACTGCCCAACTTTTTGGTTTTTTTTTTTCCGAATTCAAACCAATCTTTATCTTACAGGACATCTTTTTCCTCAGCGTCTGTTGAAAAGACTGCAGCAAGCCACACTGCAGCAAGGGATTGTGGGGGACTTTTTTTTTAAATGTTTATTTTTTACAGGCACAGATGTTTTACCTGCATGAATGTCTGTGGACCACGTGTGTCCAGTGCCTGTGGAGGCCAGAAGGCCCCGGAACCGGAAGCGAACCCTAGTCTAGAGGAGCAGCCAGTGTCCTTACCCACGGAGTTCCCCAGACCCAAGCACCGAACTTCCGGTCCTTCTGGGATCACTGCAACACCAGGCTGGGCGAAGGGGACAGCTCACTTTTCTTTGAGAAAAGAGCTAAACAAACATGAGATGAATCTGTTAGTCTGTGGGAGCCATAGTTTGGTTCCTTCAGGTTCCTCTCCATAGATTGGAAACATCTTACCTGGTGTGGTCCTGTGCACCTGCACCTATAATCCTAGCACCAGGGGAGCGGGGAGGCTGGAGTTGAGTTCAAGGTCATTCGATTTGCAACAGGGAGACCCTGTCTCAAGAAAAGAGACGTTTCACGCTTGCTAGAAACGAGAGGGGAAAAAAGATAAAATGGCTATACTGACCTTAATGAGCAACCTCTTGGACCCTCTGTTTCTTGTAGGGCCACAAGGCACTGGTCTCCCTAAAGCAGTGGTTCTCAACCTTACTGATGCTGCGACCCTTTAATACAGTCATGTTGTGGTGTCCTCCAATCATACAATGATGTTCGTTACTACTTCATAACTGTAATGTTGCTATTATAAATCATAATGCAAATATCTGATATGCAGGATAGCTGATATGCGGCCCCCGGGAAAGGTCCGTCCGACCCCAGGGTTCCCCAGGGTTGAGAACTGCTGCCCTGGGGGCCGTTCATTATGAAGCTCTGACACACAGACCTGAGCGTGGCTCCCATCTACACAGTAGGTGCTCTGCAAAGGAGGCTGTTGTATTAGGCTCCCCTTTGCCTCCGCCCCTCTGGGATGCCTCAAGATTTGTTAAGGTGGCTCACAATTCACCGTGGCTAGTTTATGGCTAGCTGGAGAGGCTTATGTTTCTAAGGAATGGGGTCAGCCAATCCCAGGCCCAGTCTGTCCAGTCCTTTCCTGTCTTATCCTGTCCTTGTCCCTCAGCCTGGGGTCACCCCAGGTAAGGCTCAAGGCCAGCGCACTTAGCACGAACCCAGTTGGCCAGGTCACTTAGACTCCAGTTCCAGGTGTCGGAACCTCAGCAGCCTGTTTGGGCACTGAAGACATCTTGGGACAGGTGCGGTGTTCAGAGAACCCCTCGGGTGGAAAGGAGAATGTGGGAATGATGAAAGGCTCCAGAGTCAAGAGAAGAGCAAAGGGAACAAGCCTGGTGGCACATGCCTGGGATTCCAGGACTCAGGAGGCTAAGGTCAAGAGTTCAGAAAGTTCCAGGCCAGGGCGAGCAAGATGGCTTAGGGAGCGATGTGCAAGTCTGAAGTCCTGAGTTCAATGGCCGGAACCCATGGCAGAAGAGACGCAAAGAGTCTCCAAAGCTGTCTTCTGACCGCCACATGTGTGCTTCCCATATGTGTGCCTGCACACACACACGCACACACTATAAAATGAATAAAAATTGAGACAGCGTTTCACTATCCCAGGCTAGCCTAGAACTCAGATGTTCCTACCTCTTCCTCCTGAGTACTGGGAGTAAAGGGCGTGTGCCACCACCGCCTGGTCAAAATTTCATTTTCATTTTTACACGCATATGTCTGTTTGCCCGCATGGATATCTATGCACCTGATACCCTTGTGGGTCAGAAAAGAGCATTGGCTCCCCTAGAACTGCAATTCCACGTGGTTGTGAGCCTATGGTGTGGTTTCTGGAGGAGCCGTCAGTGCTCTTACCCACTGAACCTTCTCTCCAGCTCCGAGTCTTCCCCCGAGTGCAGGGAGATTTGAACAGCTTGGTCAGAAATAACTAATGGGGTGGGGGCAGACCTGGGGACAGACCTGGGGCAGCTGAGGCTTGGTTAGGAGCAGAATGGAAAGTGAAGGCAAATGGTTGAAGGAAGAGGCGGTCAGCACAGAAACTGCGTAGGGCTGAGTCAGGGCAAGACTTGTAGGCCAGAGGCTCCTCTCGGGCGCCATCTAGTGGGGATCTTCTCTCTAGTCAACTCCCTGTTAGGGGAGCTGGAGACAGTGATTTCCCTACCAGATGCATTAAGGACCCAGCGGAGCCAGCCTTGGTGGCTCACCCCTGTAATCCCAGCAGAGGAGGGTGAAGGATCCTTGTGAATTCAAGGTCAGCCTGGGCTACACAGTGAGTTCAGGATTTCCAGAACTACAGCATGAGACCCTTTTTCAAAAAGACAAAATCAGACTGGGCAGTGGTGGCGCACACCTTTAACCCCAGCACTTGGGAGGCAGAGGCAGGCGGATCTCTGTGAGTTCGAGGCCAACCTACTCTACAAGAGCAAGTGCCAGGACAGGCTCCAAAGCTACACAGAGAAACCCTGTCTCGAAAAACCAAACCAAACCAAAACAAAACGTGGGCTGACGAGATGGCTCAGCAGGTCAAGGCGCTTGCTTTCAAGCCTGATGACCTGGTTCAGCTCCTGGCACCCACATAGTGAAAGGGGACAATTGGCTCCTGTAGTAGCACTGTGACCTCTTCGTAAGTACTTTGGTTCACACACACAGGAAGTACATAAAAGTAATTTAAAAAACACACCCATTTGTAAGTGACTTGGAATATATATATAAGACGAAAACGATATGCAAAGTGTTACTATACTTATTGCTTATTGACCAGAGAAAGATGTCAGTATGTTCAGTGCAGACAGTTTTGTAGGAAGTATTTCTAGCAAAGCGTGGTGGCACATTCCTGTGTCTTAACATTCTGGAAGCTGATTCAGGAATGGGAGTCAGGCTAGGCTGGGTTACATAGTCAGACCCTGTCTCCAAATAAAGAAATAAAAATTGGGGCCAGAGAGATGGTTCAATGGCATGTATTGAAGAAGCATGTATTGCTGCTCTTGCAGAGACCCAACTTCAGTTCCCAGCACCCCACTGAGGGATGCACCATCACCTATAAGGAAGGGGATCTGACATCCTGGCCTCTGTGGGCGTCTGCACTCATCCACACAAACCGAAACAGGTACAGGTAATTACAGATAAAATAAGTCTCCCCACCCCCCCCCTCCGCCAATAGTGGTGGCACACGCCTTTCATCCCAGGACTCAGAAGGCAGAGGCAGGCAGATCCCCAAATTTGAGGGTAGCCTGGTCTATAGAGTGATTTTCAGGACAGCCAGGGCTGCACAGAGAAACCCTGTCTTGAAGCCACCCACTAAAAAATATATATACAATATATAAATATATAATAAAAACATAAAATTATATATAAGATGTGTTGTATTCTCTTATGTTATATTTGTTTAACTCTGTGAAGCTGATTCTTTTTTTTCTCCAAGACAAGGTTTCTCTGTAGCTTTAGAGTCTGTCCTGGAACTTGCTGTTGTAGACCAGGCTGGCCTCGAACTCACAGAGATCCACCTGCCTCTGCCTCCTGAGTGCTGGGATTAAAGGCGTGCACCACCACTGCCTGACGAAGCTGTGAATCTTTGTCTAAACCACCCGATAGTCTAATAAAGAGCTGAAGAACCAATAGTGAAGCAGGAGGAAGGATAGATGGGGCTGGTGGGAAAAGAGAATAAATAGAAGGAGAAATCTGGGCGAAAAGAAAGAAGAACAAGGAGAGGAGGACGCTAGGGGCCACCCACCCAGCCACCCACCCAGCCGGCCACAGAGTAAGAGTGAAAGCCAGATTACAGAAGTGAGAAAAGGAAAAAACCCAGAGGCAGCAGGTAGACGAGATAATTTAAGCAAAGTTGGCTAGAAACAAGCCAAGCTAGGCCAGGCTTTTATAAGTAATAATAAACCTCCATGTATGTTTGGGAGCTGTGTGGTGGGCTCCCCAAAAGAGTAAAAAGCCAAAGAGTAAAAAACAGCCAGAAAACAATCAACAACATATATATTATTTTTTAAAAGAAATAATTAAGGGTCTAAGTGTGTAGCCTTGGCTGGCCTGCAGCTCCCCATGCGGAACTGGCAACCTTGAACTCAGCAGAATCTCTGCCTCCTAGTGCTGGCATTCATTATGCACGCACCACCACGTCTGACACCACTTCTTCTTTCTTCTTCTCCTCCTCCTCCTCCTCCTTCTTTTTCTCAAGACAGGATTTCTCTGTGTAATAGCTCTGGCTGTCTTGGACCTCGCTCTGTAGACCAGGCTGGCCTCGAACTCACAGAGATCCGCCTCCCTCTACCTTCCGAGTACATGCCCAGTTTAGTCTTTCACTTTGATCCTCCTGCCTCCACTCCCCAAGTGCTGGGACGACAGGTACACAGTAACTCTTTCAGGGAATAACTATCATGTCTATTCTTGTTTAGAAACTGGGTGTCACTATGTAGCCCTGGGTGGCCTGAAACTCAGATTTTCAGTTTTGAAAACTGAAACTCAAAATCCCCCAGGGCTGGGATTGAAAGCGTGTGTGTCACCGTGTTTAGCATTATTTATGTTTGTTTATTCGTTGTTTCAGAGCATGCTTCTGTGTAGGAGCCCTCAGAATTGACCCATAGGGAGGTCAGCTACAGACAGGTTGAGCTCTGGTGCCTCCAACTTTAACAGGAAGCTGCTGCCTGGCACTCTGGGAGATGTAGTTTGTTGTCAGATCCTGTGGTCCAGAGATTAGTGGGTGAGGAGCTGGGAGCCAATAGCTCTGGGGCTAACAACAGGCCATCAGGGACAGTTTACTCTGGGCCTAACAGTCCCTATGCTGCCCAGTCACACGGCTCTGGGCACAAAGCTGCCCATTAGCACCACCCCACATCTGGACACTTTGAGTTTGTACCCGGACAATGTTGCCCATCTGACCAGCCATCCGCGCCGTATGGGCTTGTAGATGTCCCTTTGCTGGACCAGGGACTTTGGCTGTGACAGTGAACAGATGCCTTGGCTTGCAGGTGCACCGGATGCAGAGTACAGCTGGTACAAAGGTCCTGTGTGGCAGCTGGCTTTGGTTGCCGGTCTGAGGGAAGTCAGTAGGGAACATGGTTAGCTTAGCTTCCTAGGTCATTGACCAAGCATTTCCCAGTGGGTGAGCATGCAGCCTAATGTCCTAGAAGATGTTTATTGTTCCCACAGCTGCAGCTGTGGGGCTTCGGACGTGACTCTGCAGCTGTTTCCTGGGAGACGGGTGGTAGAGGTGGGTAGCGCCAGGGAACAGGAGTCCAGACTGACCGCCTCGGGGTCTCTCCTCCCCAAGACCTCTGCAGGGGGATGTCACATGAGGGCCTAGCGTGGGAGAGGAGAGTTCCTTGTCGTTGAGGTGGGGATTCCACCCTGTCCCCTGCGAACTCCCATCTATGAGTGTGGCCTAGGGCTGGGGTCTGACTCCACTTTCAATCTGGAGCCTAGGCAGAGGTCTGGGCAAGCAAGACGATCCTAACTCTCTCCCTCCAAATAAAGGCAGCCGTTGGTCAGAGAGGAGGAAGGGGTCCTCGGGCATCAGTTATGGCGTTATTAGTGGGTAATGAGGGTACTAGTAGCCCAGGCTGGGGCGAGGCATGCCTTAAGACCTGAGAGCACTGGACCAGCGTAGCGGTGCCAATTGCCCCTGTTCAGCCTCAGTCCGCACGCACAGAACGGGCTTAACAACCCCAAGAATGATTCTTGTTGAATTGGTAGGCTGAGCATTTGGTGTGGCGCTCATCGGAAATAAATGACCCTCCTAGGTCCCGAATCTAACTTGTCCTCCTTAGGGAAGATGTCCACTATTGCCAGGAGGACAGCTACAGGCGGGGGGTCAACTCCAGCGTTGCTCCTTCATAGAGACTGAAGAAGCGAGGCTCCTACTCTTGAATCCCAGGTAACCTAGATCTGGAATGCCTAGCTCCTGGATGGGTTGCTATGCTCATAGCAGCCGCCAGGTGGCGATAGAGACGCACCCATCGGGTCAGGCTGGGCGTGGCTGTGTACCTGCTAGGCTGAGGACTCCAGGGCAGATGTCCTCAGACCATTTGAAAACCATTTAGAAGGAGAAATACTGGGTTTGAAAAGGCAAAAGAGCCTTGACTTGGTGGCAGAGGTCTTTAAACAGGCACTCGGGAGGCAGAGGCTGGCGGATCTCTGAGTCTGAGAATGGCCTGTTCTACATAGTGAGGTCCAGGACAACCAGGTCTATGAAGACATGTAGAGAGGCCCTGTCTCCATGACCTGAGTTTGATCATCATACAAAAAGCAAAACAAACAAAAAAGCAAAACAGACAAACAAACAAACCAAAACAACAGCAACAAAAACTGATGGCATGCATCTGTACTCCCAGAAATCCTACACCAGGATGAAAGAGATACGAGAATCTTCTGGAAACTTGCTGGCTCACTGGTCAGCTAACCTGGAATAGGGGAAGAGCAGCAGCAGAAATAAGATACCCTGCCTCAAAATCCTGGGTGGAAGGAGCGAACCTCTAGCCTTCCAGAAGTCCATGACACAGACAACTAAATAAAAATTAAAACCAGAAAATGTTCACGTGTGGGTGTGTCCGTGTTGTGCCATGCCTCCTTCATACCGGCAAACAGGAGGCAAAGGCCGGGTGCGGGGTCTCGGGCAGGCAGCTCTCCTAAGAGTGCTGCTGTCCACCTAAATCAGGTCTTCATGTATTTTTGCCAACTGAGCCTTCTCCTCGGCACCGAGCTATTTATTTGTTTTTTATTTTATTTTATTCTATTTTTGTTTTACGATGGCCCCACATAGCCTGGGCTAGCCTCAGACTCCTTATGTAGCTGAAGAGGACTCTGAAGTCCTGTTCTTCCTGCTTCTACCTCCTGAGCGCTGGGGCTGAAAGGCTTTGTGCCACCAAACCTGGCCTGTCATCTACTGCTCTGTTTGAGACAGGGTTTCTCTATGTCCTGGAACTCCCTATGGAGATCAGGTGGACCTCAAACTCACAGAGACAGAGATCCGTCTGCCTCTGCCTCCCGAGTGCTGGGATTATAGGCGTGTGCTAGCACATTTGGGATTATCAGGTTTCTGGTTATCTAGTCTGTAGCCCAGGCTGGCCTCAAACTGGTAGCATTCCTCCTCCCTCCGCCTCCTAAGTGCAGGGACCACACATCTTTCAGGAGATTCAGCCTTCTCTTCACCCCTCTTCATTAATTTTACCTACAAATGTATCCCGAGACACCCGTTCCATTTTCCCGGTTTTGCGTTAAGAGGTTCTGGGCCTGTGTGATTTTACAAGTCTGCAGCTTCTCTGGACTCCCACGCAGCACGTGGGCACAGGGAAGGGATTGTGGCAGCTCCGGCCTGCCTGTAGGAGTTGGAGAATCTTGTTTTCCTGGATCTCACTGGATTTAGAAAAGCAAGTTCCACAGAAGCCATCCGACTATGTCCTGACCTGAAGCAGCCATCTCCAATCTGCTGAACTCCCAGCGGCCTCTGCACCCGGAGATACGACTCCCAGGGGTCTGCAGGTATGATCTCTCCAGAATCCCACGCTCTGGAACCCCCCAGCTTCTCCCGAGAGCTCTGCCCACACTCCTCTGTTCTCAGAGAAGTCAGCGGTTTCCGCTGGAACTCTCCAGATTGGTCTACCTCCCGTAGGTCCCACCCACAATTGGCACAAAGAGAGCGGCACAAAGCAAGTTTTGATACACCCGCTTCGCCAAGCCACGCCCCCAGGTCCCCTAAAGAGCCCATCGCTCGCGTTTTTGTTTCGGACACAGGGTCTAGGCTGGCCTGGAACGAATGATGTGCAGCAGGGGACAACGAACTTCTGATCCTCCTGCCTCCACTCCCCAAGTGCTGAGATCACAGGCATTCACTACCATGAAATGGATGCGGAACATTGAACCCACAGCCTTGTGCGTGCTAGCGAGCACTCCTCCAACTAAGCCTCAGTCCCAGCTCTTTGTTTTCCTGTTTTTGGAGCCTCTGTAGCCCATACTGGCGTGGAACTCGTGGTAATCCTCCTGTCTTAACCTCCCAGATTCTTGGATTAGAGTGAGTGTCCCACAATAGTTTCTTAAATGTTATAATTGCTGCGTTGTTACACTTGTCCTATGGGAGGCCGGGAGCTAGATCCTGAATGGTGTGTGTGCAGATACAAGGATGGAGGCCAGAGAGGGACATCCACTGGGCCAGCAGGCCCCCCGACTTCTCCTGTCTCCTCAGCACTGTGCTTATAGCTGGCTGCTTACAGGGGTGCTGGGGATTTGAACTCAGGTCCTCATGCATGAGCCACAAGTGCTCTTACCCACCCTTCCTGTGACTTAATGACATGCCACATGGGTCTTTCTTGTCACAGCCAGCCTGGTTGAGGTGTGCCACTGATAATCTCTAAACCTCCAGACAGAACCTGGGAGTCTGGGCGTGGCTGTGCATGCTTGGAGTCCCTTGAGAGGAAGAGGCAGAAGGGTCAGGGTTTGGAGGCTTTGGCTGCAGAGCAGTGTCCAAGAAAGGGAAGGTGGGAGGCCACAGAGATGGCTCAGCAGGTAAAGGTGCTTCTGCCAGCCTGCCAGACTCAGCTTGACCTCTGGAACCCACATACTGGAGGGAACTGACTCCTGTGAGTCGTCTTCTGACCTCCATGTATGTACCATGGTCCATGTGCAAGAACACACACACATGCACACTCACAAGCTTGTATACACACACACACACACACACACACGAAAACAAAAAACAGAAAACAAAGACAGAACCAGGCGGTGGTGGCGCACACCTTTGATCTCAGCACTCCAGGAGGCAGAGACAGGTGGATCTCTGTGAGTTTGAGGCCAGCCTGGTCTACAGAATGAGTTCTAGGACAGCCAGGGCTTCAAACTCAAACTCTTTGTGTAACAGAGGATGACCCTGAAATCTTGTTTGTCCTGCCTCCTCTCCCGAGTGCTGGGGTTACAGTAAAAAGAAACCTTGTCTCGAAAAGCAAAGCAAAACAAAACAACCCAAAACATCAACCAAACACATACACACACACAAAAAAAAAAAAAAAGAAAAGAAAAGAAAAAAACAAAACAAACCCCCAAAAAACTCAGAGACAGGAGCCTCTTGTGTAGGGTTAAGCTCCTGAAATGACTCAGAACACAGAACAAAAGTCAAGTCAGTTGGCCATGTTGAGTTTCAGCTGAGCCAGTGGGAAAAATCACCTGTTGTCTGATCTTCAGAGAGAGCCACAGATGGGTGTATCAACCTCATTTTCTGAAGACCAGTTTAAGCCGCCAGGTGATGAAGTTCAGGGAACCAGGTGGTGGCAGAGCATGGCATGCCCGTTATCCCAGCCCTTGGGAGGTAGAAGCAGGCAGATCTTTGTGAGTTCGAAGCCTGCCTGGTCTACAAGAGCGAGTTCCAGGACAGTCAGGGCTACATGGAGAAACCCTGTCTCCAAAAACAAACAAACAACAACAACAACAACAAAAAAAACCAAAAAAAAAAAAAAAACAAAAACAGGAAAAAAGAAAAAAGACACCGGGATCAAGCAGGAGGGAGTCGATCTGTTGAGCGGACCTTGGTCTCTGCCTCCCGAGGTCTCTCTGCTGTCCTGTTTGCTCTAATGCAAGCCCCTTCCCCGGCACAGGACACTCCTGAGTCGATCTTTATGTGATAAAGGTTTTTTTGTTTGTTTTGTTTTTGCTTTTGTTTGTTTGTTTTTTGAGACAGGGTTTCTCTGTGTAGCCTTGGCTGTCCTGGAACTCACTCTGTAGACCAGGTTGGGGTCAAACTCACAGAGGTCGGCCTGCTTCTGCCTTACGAGCGCTGGGATTAAAGGCCTGTGCCACCATGACCAGCTGTGAAAAAGTACTTTTAAAGATTTATTTTAAAAAAAAAGATTTATGTGTTTTATGTGAGGACTCTATTTTCATGTACGCCTGTACACCACAAGAAGACATCAGATCTCACTATAGATAGCTAGGAGTGGCCATGTGTTGCTGGGAACTGAATCAGGGACCTCTGGAAGAGCAGTCAGTGCTCTTAACCACTGAGCCATCTCTCCAGCCCCCTTTAAGTAAAAATTATCATTAATTTCCCATTCTCCTTCCTTCCTTTCTTCTTCCCTCCCTCCCTCCCTTTCTTTTTGTTTATTTTGTGGTGCTGGGTTCCATGCCAAGTCTTAGTCCTTGCGATACCCAAGCAACATTATACAGCAGAGGCAAGGAGAGAGCCTGAGGTGGTTTGAAAGAAAATGGCCCCCAAAGGAAGTGACATTATTAGAAGGTGTGGCCTTGTTGGAGTAGGTGTAGTCTTGTTGGAGTAGGTGTGGCCTTGTTGGAGAAAAGTGTCATTGTAGGGGCGGGCTTTGAGGTTTCCTTTCTCCAGCTTCACTCAGCGTGACAGTCAGTTGGCTTCCTGCTGTCTTCTGGTGGAGATGTAGAACTCTCAGCCTCAGCCCACATTTACCTGCATGCTACCATGTTCTCTATCATGATGATAATGGACTGACTCTCTGAAACTGTAAACCACCACCTCAACTAAATATTTTCTTTGTAAGAGTTGTCACGGTCAGTTGGGAGGTGGTGGCACATGCCTTTAATCCCAGCACTTGGGAGGCAGAAGCAGGCAGATCTCTGTGAGTTCAAGGCTAGCTTGGTCTACAGAGCGAGTTCTAGAATAGGCTCCAAAGTTATAGAGAAACACTGTTTTGAAAAAACAAAGAAACAAAAAAAAGAGTTGCCATGGTCATGGTGTCTTTTTACAGCAATAAAAACCCTAAGGCACAGCTCCAAGCTAAATTTGACTTTTTTATTTAAAAAAAACCTCGAGGCTGGAGAGATAGCTCAGCAGTTAAGAGCATTGCCTGCTCTTCCAAAGATCCTGAGTTCAATTCCCGGCAACCACATGGTGGCTCACAACGATCTGTAATGAGGTCTGGTGCCCTCTTCTGGCCTGCAGACATACATACAAACAATGTTGTATACTAGAGAGATAGCACAGTGGTTAAGAGCAAGTACTGTTCTTGCAAAGGACCCAAGTTCAGTTCCCAGAACCTACCCAGAAGTTCATAACCGCCTGTACCTCCAGCTTCAGGGGAACACTCTCTTCTGGTCTCCTCAGACACCTGTACACGTGTACCACCCTAAGACACACACACATACATTTAAAAATAAACCTTTTAATAAGTTCATTCATTTATTTACTTAGAGACTTCAAATTCAGTATGTAGCTGAGGATGACTTTGAACTTTTGTTTCCCTTGCCTCCACTCCTGAGTGCCAGGGGTACAGGCATGGATCACCATGTCTTACGACTATTAGTTTGTTTGTTTTTTTGTTTTTTGAGATAGGGTCTTTTAATGTAGCCCTGGCTGTCTTGACTCTTGCCATGTAGACCAGGCTGGCTTTGAACTCACAGAGATTCCCCTGCCTCTGCCTCCCGAGTGCTGAGATTAAAAGTGTGTGCTGTCAAGCCCAGTTGGTTTGTTTGCTTATTGAGAAGCCTAAATTATCTTTAAAAAGAAGAAGGTAGGGTCTGCAGAGACGGCTCAGTGGGTACAATATGTGTGTCTGGACATACGAGCT